TTAGTAACCTTGGTTTTCTCATCTGGGAGTCAGACAGAACATATTAAAAGTACTTTGAGTGAAAAATTTCCCGAAATTAAGTAGGAGTGAGCTCATAGGAATGGTGCTATTTAGAAAGCATCGACATTATTTGCCTTCCTTCATTCACTAATTTGCTGTTTCCCATCTTTTTACACCTGTCCAGAAATTAAAGCTGTTATTTTCGTGTCTTTCTCTGCTGACCATCACTGTCCAATCCGTTTCCCTTAATGCGGAGAGAAAGGTAAGAACAAGATCATATTTTGATTTGTTACTGAAGGACGTAAAACATATGAAAATACCTTGCAGTACTATGAACAAGAACCATAATTTACATGAAAACCGCATACAGATACCATCGTTGTTGGTGTTTGAATTTTCCTATATGCGCCATTTTGGGTCTGTGACGACGTTCATTTGCCACTAGATCATCCACGAATAGCTTTTTTCATTCAAGGCAATCATGCATGCGGTTAAGTAGCAACAGGAAAGCTTTATACGATCCAACACAGTAGAACACGCGGAATTCCAGGTTTATAGATCCAATACATGTTGCGGTTTTTCGCACAAAAAAGTATTTTGGGCCATTTTACAGTTGTGTACTTAGTTGCCAAGCCTTTGATTTGGAGTGAGGCTGAAGGTGACGTTGTCGTGATAGAGACCTGTATCTAGTTAGCATGATAACAAAGTAATTTCCATTTGAAAGGCAGCGAGGTTTGTATGATAACAAGGTCACTCCTAAGCTCACTGCCGTTAAAAGGCTTGGCAACCAAGCACATAACTGTAAAATGGACTATTTACTTCACTAGTAGAGATTTCTCTTAGGAAAGAAGGTCCCCATTTGGTTGTATGGTCTATGTAAACAAATTCATCCTGAGAACCTACCCTCAATGATCCAAAAAGTTTGCATATAAACAAAAAGCTTTTTGAATATTTAACACCTACCATGTTCTTATCCATAAAAACCGTTCTGTCGAGAACGCGTGAATTGGATATCCTAGGATACCCTTAGACATCACAGGCGATGATGAGCTCCTGTCAAAGGTCTTGAGCAGAGGAATTTTCTTCCACGCGCACTCCCTGAAAAGTGAACCCTGTTACTAAAATTGTATGGTTTTTAATTGAGTTTCCCGTTTCAAATTCGTTGGATACAGAACTTTTAGCAATCTAAGTTTCAAAAAAAAAGGGAAAATGTGTATTCACGCTTTTAGTATAATGTTGCTCTTGTTAGAGTTCTGTGACTAAATATTCTCTGGAGCTGTCAAGTGGTGGAAAAACGTTTGGCGAACAGATCGAAATTGACACCATAAAGGGGACAGAGACTTTCCACGTACCGAAGACATCGCCTAATGAATCAGCAGGAGATATAATCTACGATTTTAAAAGGGTAAATATCGATATGATTTGTTTGTTTGTTTGTTTCATTTTTTAGGGGGGTAGGCACGAGGCAGTTTTGTGCCAGATTAAGAGGCCATCCTGGAAACTACCTCGCCTTTCCTATAAATCACCCAATGCAACTTGGTGGCTTCACTTTCCGCCCTATAGAAGTGAAAGCTAGCCTTTTATTTTGCTATAAGGCTTTCAGCGATATTCTCTTTATTTTTTCTTCATGCAGCAAGTGACAATGGCTCGCTTGCCAGCAGAAAAGGCATGCTATATGGCTAATTCAATCGATGAACCTCTCACACCTGCCGATTTAAAGGAAGCTTTAGAAATGGTGAGTGTACTCTAAAACCCAAAGTGCAAATGTGTTTTATAATCTCCAATTTTACGAATACGAGATTTCCCTTGTTTTCGTTGGGGTTCTTGTAAAGCCCTAGCTTCGATGCTAGAATGCTAATGACTGAAATAATACCACTAAGACTGCCTTAAATTCTTAGACTTTTGCGTGCTCGATTTTCCACTTTCACATCTGTGTATTACTACGTTATTGTTAGAAATCTCCCGGAACGAGCGAAGAGTTAGCAACTTCTTCAACTGAAACCCAAATGACGGTTGTGGGAGAGCTTGAAGACCGTTCAGCGCTGAGTGCTGAAATGGCAGAACTGTGTGTCAATCTACCAATCTATATCGTCACCAATGGCGCTGTGATCCTNGTTGACACAATTGACAATCCTTACACACGTAAGTGTTACAGAGTTAGCCGTGTCACAGACTTTTGTCATCTTTGACGCACCTAGTAGAATAAGTACACGAAGTAGGGTGGGGTGAGATGGATTTAAGATCCCCCTTCCTCACTCTTTAGGCAAAATGCTAATGATTCGGAAAGAGAAAAAAAAGCGACAACGTAAGATGGACGTATTTTGCCCAAGAACCTAACACTATGACTTGGACAGGTTGGAACCCAAACCTCTAGTGGGGGAGTCCAGCGCACTAATAACCAGGCCACCGCACCTCCCATACAATCTCAGACACTCCAGGATAATTTGCATTTTGTGTTCTTTTCACTGATGACATTTTTTCTTTTTTCTTTGTACAAGGTGTGAAACGAGCTTTCTTCCGCAAGCTAAGACGGAAGGGATTCTTACGCAAGCTCAAAAAAAGGGCTTGTAAAAGAGTGTGTAAATGGGCTACAAAACGGATTTGCAGGAGGGTTCCCTTCAGGTTCAACAGGTTGCGGAGGAGGTGCTTAAAGTTCCGGAAACGAGGATGCAAGCGTGTCTGCAGATGGCTGGTTGGATAAACTGGTCTATTTTCCACTTTTATCTTAACACAAGCATTGAGAAGTGCTTTACTAAATAATTCAATGGTACTTTAACCAGTTAGCATATCCCTAGACTCTTTCCAATTTAGTCATAACTTCCGGGTTGAAATCAAACATTTTCATTTATATATCCTTTTCGTCCCTCCAAAGTAATGCTCCCAGATGGAAGAATCGATTTTGCTGCAACGCTATTAACCCTTGAACTCTCAAGTGATTGTTACGTACCTTATCTCTCTGTGCCAGGAAGCACATAAGGATTGGACGTCTCTCCTCCACAGTGTTCGGTCTGAAGCTGCATGGTGTACAGCACTCCATGTTTTCCAGCCTGCGCCGTTCTCTCCTTTTCCACCATTCGCCGCTATGTTGTCTTCGGTAGTAACTTCTCTTTATAATATGCATACGTTATCCTGCAAAGATGTAATGAGAGTACCCAAATTATTAGGTAGAAGCTGTTATCTTAACTAATTTACGAGGAAATGTGGAGCTGCTAGAGGGGAGACTTTACAAGCAGATCCTGGGACTTAAGATTGCTCTCAAGCTTTTTATCACATAGAATGGTCTAAAAGTAAATTACAGATAATGTGTTGAACTGGCTTCAAAATTAAATCCTAGCTTCAAGCTAGGCAATAGGAGTCTATGAGGAGCGAACAGTGTAAGTACAGCATGTAAGGGACTGGGTATCGTGTTCAAGAATAAAGGCGAATCATACACCGAATCGCTATGTATTTTTCAATTACAATGATAGGTCCGGTTTTCGAGTCGCCCCAAGCCTCGCGCCCAATTTGTTTGTTATTTTCTTGCCATTCCATTCATTGACAAAAGTAAGACTTTGCTTTTGGTTTTTTTTTTGCTTTTTTAAAAGCGGTGGTCCTTCTTTGGTTCGCACAAATGGGTCAACTTGTTCGGTAGCACTTGATGTAGATGTATCCTAAAGAGTCTAAGGGAATAATATTAATAAAGAAACTTCGTTGTGTCGAATTAACTGCATGCCTGTAGTGCATTGTTTGATTATGTTCTGTGGTGTTTTGCTTTTCCAGTACTGAGTTACAAACCCGACTTTCAAATGATAAGAGTATGCTTATAAAGTTTCTGTGGTGCTGCGTCGGTGGGTGGTATAACAAGATAATTTGGTTTTACCACCTGATATTTCGAGCGGTAGCCCTTCGTCAGAACCCGACACCGCTTTCTATCAGTGTACCAGCGTTTTGGGAAAAAAATCATCAAAGCCAACTGAAGGAAAAATTCATTTGGCATCGGAGTAGCGACCTGTGGGAAAATAAGTCAATTTGACGAAACAGAAGCTAGAGCACTCAAGAAGTGTGGAGAAAACTACATCTCGTGTTTCTCCCTTCACTTCTTTTGTACTTTAGCTGCTTCATTTGTGCTTTACAAGCGAACAGAGCACAGCAAGGCTTCTCTATTTGTAAATTATCCCGAGCAAACTTACTTTATTCAAGTGGAATCCCAAACTGGAGAAAAACTCTCGAAAAGAGAAAATCAAAAAAACAAAATCATAAAGCGAAACAGACTAAAACGAATTTACCTCAGCTACAACCAAAAATAAAAAAACGTGAGCAAAGTCACAAGAAAAACAATAGCAGCAGAGCCAAGTCTTTGTGAACTTGATCTATTTTTATCAGCTCGACACCAACTTAAAGCAAATCACAAAAGTTTCGTGAACCATTTTTGCCTGACTTCATTCCCATTATATTATAACAGCAGCTGAGGACTTATGCGTTTTAGGAGTATCCCAATGTTATTTAGCGTAAAGAGCTGTTTTTATCGCTGTCCCAAGTTCTCCATTTATGCATTTTCAAGGCTAGCATCCATCAAGACCTGTTAAGGAAGCGAAAAGTCAAACAGAAGTTCTAATGATGGTCACTCTTAACAGTTAACATCCTAACATCAGTATGTATATTCTCCATACTTTTCTCTACACATTTCCTAAGGTGCTGATAAGGAGAATTTGTTTAACAATCAAGAGCTTCTTTAGTTGGTGATAATTCTCTTTGCGCTCGTATCCTTTATGACTGATTCAGGGGTGATTTTGTAAGGAGAATTAAGATGCTAGTCACTCTTTGAGGTGGTCAAAAGATTCACCTGTGGTCTCAGAGCTCATTTTAGTACAGCCTAACAGGCGTCTATGCGACGAAGGTCCCCGTTTAAATCAGCTTTAATAAACAACTTATTCGTTCATGGTTATCTTTTGCAATCCTCTTTCTTTCACTTAGTGAAAACGGTATGGCAACCGAATACGCGCAGTTTGACAAAAGAGCATTCGACAATGAAGTTAGCGAAGACGATGACGTAGGAACAATAAAAAAGTCAGCTGACCCCCTTGGAAGTGGAGGTGGAGGTGGAAGTAGAGGTGGAGGTGGAGGTGGAGGTGGAGGTGGAGGTGGAGGTGGAGGTGGAGGTGGACGTGGACGCTGAAATCCTCGCAGTAAACGCCGTTAAGGTGGACGTGGACGTGGACGTGGACGTGAACGTGGACGTGGACGTGGACGTGCACGTGGACGTGCACGTGGACGTGCACGTGGACGTGGACGCTAAAATCCTCGCGGTAAACGCCGTTAACGAAGATCATTTAAGGTGGCTCGTACCAGTTTCCTCGCGCGGGGAACAGGTAGCTCTTGCGTCACGCGCGAGAGAAACGTGCGAAAGAAGCGCGAGATTAAAAGACGAAAATTTAAAACAAAAATGGCGGCGCAAGGATTTTTTCCTACTTATGTGAGAAGTTTTCCTAGGAGCGTGTAATTGATGTGTTGAGCGGCCACAGTGAATGCAGGAGATAGAAACTAAAATAAAGAGGACTATTTTCGGAGAAGTAAAGGTTGCTTCACTTCACATTTAAAAGAAATATTCAACCGATATGAAATCTTGCGACGGCGAAAAAACAAGAACTCAAGTGAAGGATAATCTACCTGAAGTTGAAGAAGACTTTGAAACTTCAAGGAAAATAATATGATATAGCCAGAAGTCATGTGTAGGATTTTTAAGATGAGCATGGGAGACTGTCTTTGACGGCTGTTTAATGATTTTCTTAGCAGTAAACATCTGTAA